TAGAAAGTTTTACTTGACCGATGTTCTAGAATTTGGTGATGTCTTATGGTAGATAAGAGTCAATTACCAATCTGCTATTGCGTGATTTCTAATCAACGTGTTTTATAAGAGTAACACGGCGGGTGTCACATGTGAAGCAGGATCTGCTTACCCTTCCGGAGCACCTGAGATCACTCCCAGTTTTGGTAGGGTTTGTGTTGCACAGTCTTTAGTTTTCTATGTTGTGTTTTGTGTATTGTTGTTTGTCTTTTTCTTTTTCAGCCATGACGTTGTCAGTTTATTTTCGACTTATGAGTTTGAATGTCCCATTTGGTATCTGTCGCCTCTCTTTTACTTTCTTGTTTGGTAATCATTACAGCAGCCAATGAAAGGTAAATAACAAAAATAACGAACTCAAACGAAAATTCAAAACTGAAAGTCCTTTATCAAATAGCAAAATAATAAGCTAAAACACATCAAACGAATGGAAAACAACTGTCATATTCCTGGTCTTGGTACAGGCATTTCCTTGTGTAGAAAATGGTGGATTAAACCTGGTTTTATAGCTAGATAAAACCTATTACTTGTATGGCAGTCGCATAGAATTCCATTATATTGGCAACAATGAATTCAAATGTCAGCCTTCAAAATGTAAGGTGTGTATCATCAGGACAAAACCAGAGGATTTTGAAATGTCTTCAAAACAGAAAGAGTAGAACTGAGCGTTGGTAGATGCTTGTAAGCGAAGCGTGGACACAGGATGATCTGTATTTTAATCAGATTGAACCGTTACAAGTCCTGGTTCAGACAAATATGAATCGAAAAAATATCACAAATTTAAAGACAAACATAAATAAGAGGTAATAACATCACCAGTCCTGGTTCAAACAAATATGAGCGGATAATACTTGACGATGGCAAGGGCAAACAAATGTCGGAGGTTGAAACATAGCAAGCCCTTGTTTAGACAAATATGAGAGGACAAACCTTCACAATTAGTTAGACAAACACATTGGGGAGGTTACAACATCACAAGTCTTCTTCAGAACAATATGAGAGAATAAAACATCACAATACCAAGGACAAACACATATGGGAAGTTAAAACATCACAAGTCCTGATTCTGACAAATTTTAAGTGAACAAAATATCACGATTCCAAGGACAAACAAATATTGGAGATTAAGATACCACAATCATGATTCAGCTAAATTTGGTTTGATAAAACATCACAAATCCAAGGACAAACAAATATGGGATATTAAAATACCACAATCCCGTGTCAAACAAATTTGATTTGATAAAACATCACAAAGTCCTGGTTCAGACAAATATGGGAAGTTAACAAGACACATGGCTAGGTTTCAACAAATATGGGAGGCAGGAATATAGCATGACTGGGCATGATGTCAGGTGGATAATTATAGACATTTTAGATCTATCTATGACAGCGGTAAAATGTTTCTAGTTATCTAAAAAACGGACACTGTTATGATCAACCAATACACATATTGTGATTGCAGCTAAATTCTTAAATATAAATTTTCTAATTTATTGATATTTTCCCTAGATATTCAACAACTAATATACACGTAACAGGGATACTTAATTAAAGCTGTAGGTTAAGTAAATTGTTAAAAGCAAAGGTGCAATAAAATTGATTAATTTGGAAAAAAAATTGGTTTATCCCAAAAGCTACTTTTTACTGATAAACTGTTCAGTGTTGGTGTTGTTTGCGTGCATGTGTTAATTATATTATTGCATAATGTTATACTGTTTGTGTAATGCAATGGCCTATATTAATGTTACGAAAATATATAAAAAAAGGGCGATATAGTATGATTGCCAATGAGAGAACTATCAACCAGAGTCGAACACCAGTGGACGTAGGCAACTTTAGATCACAGTACGGTCTTCAACAATGAACAAAGCCCATAACTTTATAAAAGGCTTCATCACATGACAAAATGTGAAAAAAATAAAACAAGAAAACGAACGCCCTGATTAATGACAAAAAAGTTACGGAAAAACTAATATGACGGAGAGCAACCAACAACAACCTCTGAATACAGGATCCTGAGTTGAAACAGGCACATAAAGATTGGGGGAGATTAATCAATTCATTTTATATTGCATGCTACTTGAAAATCTTAATTCAGAACATAACCAAGATATGTATCAATAGGAGACCATGCCATGACAACAGCCTTGCAACGTTTCGGCAATAAAGTTTATCGACAGGTTGTAGGTATTCCTATGGGCACCAATTGCGGCCTTTAATAGCAGATTTGTTCTTATATTGATAAGAAACATAGTGACACAGTAGTACAATCTTTAAATATTGTTTTCATTGTTATTAACATTGATTTTGTTTTGGAAGAATTTAAACATAACTAAATATTTATCTTGGCTTTGAACTAACTGCTAGTACTCTTATTTCTGTGCTTTATGTCTATTGTTTTTATGTTAGTTGTTTTAGGGCCTCGCACCAATCTTTTGAGTTAAGCTGTTTGCAACTGATTTTTAGTTTGTTTTTATGTTGTGCTGGTACAACACTGTCCCAGGTTAGGAGCGCTCACAAACATGCTGAACACCACCACATTCTTTATGTGCCCATCCCAAGTCAGGAGCCTGTAGTTCAATGGTTCATTTCTGTCATTATTTGTTTTTCGTAAATTGTTTTGTTATAAATTGTACTGTTAGTTTTCCCAATTGATTTATTTCACATTTTTCATGTCGGGGCCTTTTAAAGCTGACTATACGGTATGGGTTTTCTCGTTGTTGAAGTCTGTACGGTTGCCTATTATTGCTTACTTCCACTTCATTTGAACTTTGGTGGATAGTTGTTTCATTGACAATCATACCACATCTGCTTATTTTTACACAGTTTGCACTATTACATTCCCATGCATATGTTCAGTTTACTGTGAAATCTGGGTCAAAACCCTAATTTGCCGTATATTAAAAAAGGTCACTACATAATGAACATGTGTACTAAGTGGCTTCATACTTTCTTAAACCAAAACTTAACCTAGTACTCTCAACCAAATTTTTTTTTCTGATACGGGTCGGACGATCGGACAAACAAGCCTTCATAAAAAAAACAAACGATTTCTTCATTTCATTTCATTTTCGGACTAGTAGAAAAAAGTGAAAAAACAAAATGTATCAAAATGTATTGGACTGTGGAGAGATTTTGTTTTTGCTCTTCCATATTCAATTGGTTTTGCCTTTGTAAAGCTATTGTTCTGAATGGTAGTACGTCTTCTTTTTATGTCATAATAATATTTTGGAACTGTTCTATTCATATGTCGCTTTAACATTACTTTTGTCTCTTTTTTGATATTTTCTTTGATAGTCTGGTAGAAATGTGCTATTCAAACAGTTGTTATGTAATATTCAAATACAATTACAGATAACAACAAGAATGTGTCCATAGTACACGGATGCCTCACTCGCACTATCATTTTCTATGTTCAGTGGACCGCGAAATTGGGGTCAAAACTCTAATTTGGCATTAAAATTAGAAAGATCATATCATAGGGAACATGTGTACTAAGTTTAAGTTGATTGGACTTCACTTTCATCAAATACTACCTTGACCAAAAACTTTAACCTGAAGCGGGACAGACGGACGGACGAACGGGCGCACAGACCGAAAAACATAATGCCCATAGATGGGGCAAAAAAACAAGAATATAAATTTATATCTTTTCATCAAAATATAACAGGGAAGTATTTTTTTTTAATATATATACTCTGAAACAATCTTGCTCATGACTTATATATATATGACATATGATACCAAAAATAGGGATATAAACATTGAAACATAAAATAAAATACAATATTGTAATAAAACTTATCACTTCATTGTCCATTGTACACTAATAAAAGAGTCATAGAAAATCATTGTTCATCATGAATAGCTTTTTCAGAGTTTAGAGAAGGTCCAAAATTGCCTTTTCTCAAATTCTGAAATCAAATAATTCAGAAATTGACACCAGGACTTACAAAAACTTTTGGACATTTCCAAAAAACTACACCAACAGCTGACTTATCTGAGAAAATAGATTTTCAGAACGTGCTATATAGCATTAAATTAGCAGTAAAGTTGTTCAATACCCAATTTATTTGTAAATTAACTAAGTTTAATAGACAACTACTCCAATCTGGTAAGTTCTGGAATAACATATCTTTTTTCATGATGTCACAAATCAGTAAAAGCTAACTGGGCCCTGTTTTAACAATGTATGTGAATTATTCTTTCTAAAACAAACATGTTTAACCACTGTAAACACTAAAAAAAAGCATTTTTATTACTTCATTTGTCTTTAAACAAGAATGTGTCCATAGTACACGGTTGCCCCACTCGCACTATCATTTTCTATGTTCAGTGGACCGCGAAATTGAGGTCAAAACTTAATTTGGCATTAAAATAAGAAAGATCATATCATAGGGAACATGTGTACTAAGTTTCAAGTTGATTGGACTTCAAAAACTACCTTGACCAAAAACTTTAACCTGAAGCGGAACAGACAGACGGACGGATGAACCGATGAACTGACGCACAGACCGAAAAACATAATGCCCCTAGGTTGGGCATAAAAATTGGTTCATAAGCTGTAATATTTCAAGATGTTCCCTTTCAAAATTTTTCCCTCTGTCAGCTCATTAATGATGACCTTTGTTTTGACAACACTTGGCCTTAACAGGAAGTTTTCTAAGAACTGTTATTTCGTGATTGGACTAAATAGAAATAAGGTCTACCTTCAAATAATAATGAACACAAAACTGTTACATGTATCTGAAAAACGAAGTAATTTTCAACACTAAAATTTTGGGATTCAATATGCATTCATATGTGAAATATTCTCTTGGAGACGTGAATGCTTTTATCACAAAAATGTCTTAGATTCCCTGGGATGGTCACAGATCTAGCTACCAGTAAAAAGTCTTACTTGAACAAGAAAATGTTCCTGTTCTTTTGGTATTGCATGTTCAAATAAGAAATTCAACATGTAAAGTTTCAAATACTATATTTCAAACTGCAAATATATTAAAAATATTATATACATAAATACAGCACAATATTGCACTCATCATCTTTAAAGGAATGTAGATAAAGTTTTTTTTAGTGAAAGATCAAGGTTTTTAGACAATAATAAATACTAAAATCTATATCAACAAAAAGAAACGTGAGGTATACATCAAAAAGACAGCAATCTAACAGTAGAAATAATGACCAGTCATCCATATCTATGGTGTAAGTCACAGTAACTATTTTTTTGTCTGCTTTCATTAAAAACATCTTGATATTGAAACAGTCTGACATATTTACATGTTTGATCATAAAATTGTTCTTAATTGAAGTTTGGTATGACTGAATTTGAAAATCTGGTGCTGTTTGAAAAGATTTGATGTTTATATTTGATCAGTCTGATAGTCAAGAAACTGATGTGTGATTAATGGCTGAAAATTTTAGTTTTTTCTATGCTTATAAATTGGGAATACTTAAGATATTATGGTTTCAAAAGTATCTATTCAGCATTATCATTTATTGCAAATTAGTTTCATTAGGTTGTGGTTTTGTCATTTTCATCAGAAATATTAAACCAACTACATGTTAAATGCAAGAAAGGTTGAAAAAGTGTATTCAGTGGGTTGTGACCAATGTATATGTCATTATAGAACAACATATAATATGTCATTAATTCTTTTTATCAGTACTGGAATGAACACAAAATATCAACATAGAATTTGAAAATAGCCTATGCATGCTTTCCATCAGCTATTATTCCTTGATTCTAGGTATTTTGGATATCCTCTACATGCTTCTTGCATCATTGTCAAAAAGGATGGAACACCAGTCTGTGAAAAAGAGAAAATAATTATGTAATACATGTTGCAAGTTCTAGTATTTAAATTTATCTTAAAAATATACTATTTCATCACATTTAATTTCTGATCACTTTTTTCAATGGAAAAATGAAATAAAATATACCAAGTTCACTTACTTGCCCTTTCAATAATAAACTATAACAATTCACTATAAACATATCAATTACAATTATCCAGCTGATAATAAGACACAATCGTGTTAGATCTGAATAATGATATATACAAAATAAGTAAAAACAGGTTATATAACTTTGAAAGTGTATTATCTTAGTCTTTTTTATTGGAAAGAACCATTCAGATATTGTTTTAATTGAAATGCATGCACATTTTTAAGTGAAGTTGCCTAAATAAAACAAGAATACACAGGCTGAAATGCCTCGCCTGCTTTACTGATCCTATGTGAAATAATGTTGATCAAGATAATGGTTTTACTACAAGTATCACATAAACTTAACATTATCAATCATGGGGATCAAACTTACAACTTATAAACAAAGGTAAATACATGTATATACTCCAATATTTATAGATATCTTATAATTTTCCAACAGGATAATATAAACATTCGGTTTATTTAATGAAAATGATGGGAACAGGCAACCTTTATGTAACCTGTCAAGCTATGATAAACAAATATAATGTATTATCACATTGACTGTAATAAAATACAGTGATTTACCAGTTAAATATAAACCGATAATTGCAAATGTGAAATAATCCGATAATTTCACTCCTATGGTGTCATACAACAATGGGTGTTTGACACTGTTGATGACGTTGCATCAAAACAAATTGGTAATGAGTACAAAAAGATAAAGTTCATTGTATTTTATATGTTATTTCTATTAAACAACTTATGGCCAATGTAATAAAAAGACTTACTAATTGAAGAATTCAAATATTGAAAAATATTCAACTCATGATCAAACAAGACTGATAATTTAATATGTTATTCGGTCACTCATTGAATATTTGTCTATATTTCATCCATTAGTTATTCTATATTACTTTTGTAAGTTTGCTAACTAAAATTTGAATTAAGAAATCAGGTTCAAATTAAGTACATCTATTGTCCTAGATATGCATCAAATACTTGCCACTGGAAATTAAGTCATTTAATCAATTTCTAGTAAAATCAGAGGAAATGTAACTACTCCTGACAAGGAATATCTATAACAACTCTCACCTTAGCTCCCCAATTTATCAGCCATGTTGGAATCATTCCTTTTGGGTTGTCATAGTATCGCATAAAAGCTGCAAAAAAATATCAAAATTTAAGTAAAATATCTTTTCCTATGGTATAATTATGTATTGTGTATAAAGAAGAATTTTATAATTAGACATTATTTTGTGTGCAATTTTTCTAGAAATTAAAATGATTATAACTTGTCCTCTACAAAAATGACTTTGTAATTCTGCTGCTGATGATGTCTAAGTTATTTTGATTCCTTAACAAAAGAAAACACCAGACAGGTGACGTGCTTCATCCCACTGAGATATCTATATAATGTGGAAACAAATGTTAGGTATAGACATTAAAATGGAGTTTAGTATATCAAAAGCAATGGGACATAGTTTTGTTGGCTGACTTAAGGACAGTGAACAGATATAAAGTACCATGACCAGGCCTGAATTTCTTTTTTTTTTAAATGTAACATATCAATTTCACTTTAATCTGGTTTGTTTCAAAGGCTTTATCTCGTATTTGTACCTTTTGATCCTTGTTTTCCATCAGTTGTTAGTACACAGCTTTGTTTATAATCGTCTACTCTTATAACACCACTTTTCTCTGGTATGTTTGAACATTCTACACTTTCTGCCATTACTATCCAAACTTTGTTTCCATTATGTTCTAATTCTCTCATCTCACGCTTGTATACATACTTTTTGTTTGTTAAGGTAGTTTTCTGACAAACACACTAATATATTTACCTAGTTACCAAAAAAAGTATTGTATGAATGAAATTTGTTCTTATTAGTTTTGAAATAATCTGGCCTTGGCAAAAAAAAAAATTTCAACTTGTCCATAACACTTGCATATTTTGCAGAATAACTAAAGTCTGCTGGTTATTAGTTCAATGTGCCTAAGAAAAAATATCGATGCAGAAAAGTTCATGCTGAAATGAAAATCATTTACTCTTGAAAGAAAATAAAGATATTAGTTGTTTTACTTATCTGTATGTTTGTAAGACTGTTCCAAATCTTTTGGAAATCTCTAAGCTAATTCTGATCTAAATAATCCCTACAACAAATCAGCAGGTGGTTAAACTCTTGAGAAAGACAATTCGGATCCATGAGTACTACGGAATATTTCTGAATGGACAATACATGTAATATAAGATTCAGTGTTATTCATAATCAATAGATTAATAAATTTGAACATTCTTTGATATAGAAGTATAAAGCATTGTTCAATCATTGACTTTTTTTTTAGGATTCTTTGATGAAGCATATCATTGTTCACATTGTATTATTCATTCTTACAGTATGTATATGGTAGATCAAAAGACAAAAACCTTAACAATTTCTTGATATAAAATTGAAGGTTTTATTTTATTTTTTCTGGACTTTTGTGGTTGAAAGATTGCATCTAATTTTCTAACATTTTTAATTAAATCTCAAGGGATGCATGAAATTGAGAGATTTCACCAAGATGTCAATCTCTGGTATCAAATTTAAACATCTCTTCTAATATCAATATATATGTACCTAAAGAGAAAAAATTGGGATAGCTGTTTTTTAACTAGTCTTAACAGAAATTTCTGGAAACTCATATAATTAAAGTGAAGCCATCACCTTGTCTTCAAACAACCATTCTTACTTTCTCATCTTGATGCATATAAATTATGTTTCCTTGACATTTTTACTGAAAACATATACATTTTATAATCAGATAAAGGTTAATTAATTGGGATATTTCCCTTTGGTAAAAAGTTATGAATACATGTCAGTACATCACTGCAGACCTGCCGACTTTCCCACTTTATGGGGGATATCCCCCATGAGAGATGTTGACCTGACCCTTATAAAACTCAATTATTTAGACTAAATACTTTTAAAAAGGCATTCAGAGGAGTAAAAATATATTTGAACACATGATGTATACTCATTCTAAAACCATAGATGCTCTAATTAAGTACACTAATGACATACATGTATCTAGGTATGCATTAGGTCCTCTTATGCTAAATATCACCCATTTAGATTTTGAAAAGTTGGCAGGTATATACATGAAAAGGTGAATTAACAGATTAATAATCAATTATAGAATGTCAATTCAATCAAAGATTCATGACACAAGTTTTAATATTGAACTATTTATTGTGTCTAGCACATTAGTTACACTATGCAAAAGTTTTTCAACAGTAAACTCTGTGTGCAATAATATATAAAGGATACATCTCTATTAGACATTGGCCATGGATAGTTCACATTCCAGTAGATAACTTTCTTTCCATTTTCTTCTCTTTCGTAAAGTTCTGAAATACAGGTTAAATGATATTACATGTACAACAAAATTATCTGCTTTTTACTTTTCCTTTCTTTCCTATCATTATGTGTTGGCAACTTCTTTTCGCAATAAAGCTAACACACAAATATTATTAAGATATCATATGTCAAGACATCTTTTTCCAGTAGTTCAGGATGTTTGCTACTTTTGTTTTTGACTTTTTATCAGATATTAGGAATCCTCTATTTTATCCGTGCAAAGTCAATAAAATCTAACCCCTACTTTTCTTTTCATAATTTTATTACATATAGTTAAAAAGACATTTTTGAAAATCTTATAAAATCCTTATTATTTTTCATAGTTTTTGAAAGATAAAAGGTACCCTGCTCATGTTAAATGTATGACAAATCTAAAGAGAATCATTTCCTGCCAAATTTTCAATTGATTATATGTCAACAATTTACTATCAGTTTATTACAGTCTTTTAAAAAGCTTGTTATTTTGAAAGAGAGGAGCAAACATCCTTAAAATTAACTTTAGTCACATTGTATATCGTCTTCTAGAAACTATCATATTATATTATTACTGGTGTCCCTTGTTTGGAGTACATTCAATTCCCTCAGTTTTTGATTTTTACCTAGATTTGTACCTTCTCGATGGATTTTTAAGATTTCAACATTGGTAAACCACAGAATTCATTTGTACATTTTTTGTTAAAACATATGTGGAGATGAATAATGAAGTTGGCATGAGTAACCTCCCATTTGTTAATGATATGTACATGTAAATGTATAACACTTTATTATTCATATCAACTATCAATTGCAAGTTCTTGTTTTATATTAAATAGAGCATATACTTTTCTGGCTTATTTTGGTCTTGTGTAAACTCATAAAAAAAATATATGATACATACATGTATGTACTAATCCATTATTAATCAACTTTCCAAGGGCTTTCAGAAATTACAAGATTAGACATGATGACTGAATTTGACTGTGATGTCATTAAAGGGACATTATTCAGTCAGAGCTCTGACATAAACAAGTCAGAATTTTGTGACTTGTGAAAGTCAGAATATTTTGTGTCATGAGTAATTACCTCCCATCATTTTGAAACAAAAACTGACTTCTACAAGTCAGATGAAATATTATGCAATTTTTTCCTCAAAACAAAAATTAAAATAAATTGACTTCTACAGGAAGAAATATACCTAAACTGTCAACCTTTTTTGGCCATGCACTCATATTTAAAAGTTGAGCATCCACATGACAATTTTAAAAATGCCTTCTACAAACACTTTTTTATCAACAAAAAAATATGAATAAGACCCTAAAAAAACGGAATCATATGAAACAAGAAATGATTGTAACAGGATGCTGTTACGAAGTCTCCCAAACAAAGCTCCCATAATTTGTATTTCCCAGGGTCGCCTGACATTGGGCAAAGTCCAGTGAAAATTGGTTTGGTCCAGTAAAGTTATATGCATTAGTGATGCCTGGGGACTAACCCTGTATATAATTCAAATCATCTTGGCATGACAAACCAGAATATATATGGTTTAGGGGTGGGGATCTTGACCACTTACAAGATATTAGAACTTTCTTAAATGGCATAGGGTGGGGGTGACCCCTGGGGACTAACCCTGTATTTCATTTGATTTGCTTTATGATGACAAACCAGAATATATATGGTTTAGGGGTGGGGATCTCGACCATTTACAAGATATTAGAACTTTCTCAAATGGCAGGGGGTCGGGATGACCCCTGGGGACTAACCCTGTATATCATTCAAACCATCTTAGCATGACAAACCAGAATATATATGGTTTAGGGGTGGGGATCTCGACCATTTACAAGATATTAGAACTTTCTCAAATGCTAGGGGGTCGGGATGACCCCTGGGGACTAACCTTGTATTTCATTTCATGTGCTTTATCATGACAAACCAGAATATATATGGTTTAGGGGTGGGGATCTCGACCATTAACAAGATATAAGAACTTTCTCAAATGGCAAGGGGTCGGGATGACCCCTTGGGACTAGCCCTGTATATCATTCAAACCATCTCAGCATGACAAACCAGAATATATATGGTTTAGGGGTGGGGATCTTGACCATTTACAAGATATTAGAACTTTCTCAAATGGCAGGGGGTCGGGATGACCCCTGGGGACTAACCCTGTATATCATTCAAACCATCTTAGCATGACAAACCAGAATATATATGGTTTAGGGGTGGGGATCTGGACCACTTACAAGGTATTAGAACTTTCTTAAATGGCACGGGGTGGGGGTGACCCCTGGGGACTAACCCTGTATTTCATTTAATGGGTTTTATCATTTAGAACATTTTCAATTAAAAAGATTGTGTCTATCACAAACGGTTTTTCAATTTATAATCATTTGAAAATTTAAAAAAATAAAATCCCATAGGGTTCTATAGTAAAACCCTCTTTTTTTTTTGCCCCTCAAAGTACCCCTTTATACACCCCATTGCACAAAAAAAACCCTGATCACCACTAGACATGTTAGTCTAACATATTGTGAAACCCTAAGTTAATCTGACAAGTGGTTTTGGAGAACGGGTGCGGACAAGTTCAAATTTAAAAGCGGCGGAAGAGGAAGAGGAAGAAGAATAATAATAATAATAAGAACTGAGCAAAAACAAAAAGTCTTCCCAAACTTCTTTTGGGAGACTTAATTAACCATTTAATTTAAGTATGTATTTGTGATAAATTGTAAAAAATATTCTGTATAAACAATGGATTTACTTGAAAACCAGCATGAAAAAATAGATTTTGGTATTGTTATGCATCATACAAATATTCATGGTAACTTACTGATAAGGTTTGCTACAAATCTTAAAATACTGAAACGTCACGATTCACTGAACAGAATTTGACCTGAATAAGTCAGGAATATTCTGACTTTATAAAGTCTAAAACTCCTTTGTAAAAATTGTATAATCTGACTTGCACAAGTCTTGACAATTCTGACTTGTTTATGTCAGAGCTCTGACTGTTATTAGGGAGACTATGTAAGATTCTAGCCAAAACAGGGTAATTTCTGGAACATTTATAACACTGCTTTTAAGAAAGAGCATAGGTTATATGCGATATGGGTTTCGCTCATTGTTGAAGGCAGTACAATGACTTATTAGTTAAAAACTATTACGTCATTTGGTCTCTGGTGAAGAGTTGTCTCATTGGCAATCATACCACATCTTCTTATTTTAATATCATTACAAAAATAAATAATATATTTCCTCAGCTTTTTTCAATGAAAACAATTAACTTTTCCTTTAGCATTATCTAAGTTATCATCCTACATCATGACTACATGAGAGCACTATAAAAAGAAATATAATTGTTTTCTTAACATGCACAATAACTACAGATCATATTCAAATTATTTGATAAGAAAACCTTTCAGGTTCCAAACTTTTGAGAAAAAGTGTCATGTAAAAAATACATAAAAAGATATTTTTGATATTGCATAGTACATTTTTCTATCAAATAATTATAGTTGGGAATGGCAATAATGAAATTTTAACTTAACTGTTCACCTTTTTCATAAAATTCAATTTACATCAGGTTATTATCTGACATGTGCATTTTCAAAGTAAATGGTAATTAATACTTATTATCAGTAAATAATGGACTGTTGGTTTTCTCTTTAAATTTGTTTAGTTTTGTCATCCAGGGGCCTTTAAAACCATAGCTTACTGAAGAGCTTTGAGTTTGTTCATTGTTGAAGCTGTACAGTGACCTGTAAATGTTCCCATCTTTGTCCTTGGTTTATAAATTGACAGATTTGTCTCATGGTAATCACACAACATCTCCTTATTTATCATCTTTATTACTGCCCTACAAGCCAATAGTGTATAGGGCAGTAAGTAAAGTAAAGTAATACATATCTTTACATACAGGTACTTTAAAATAAATCAGTACTCTGATACACATCAAAATATGTTTAGCATATGTAATTATGCTCTTTCAAATGTTTTATTACATATGCAGTTTTGTAAATTAAACAAATAATCAAATGACAATAAAAAGATTTTACTGTAAATGAAAGTTTATTGTACCTTTTGCATACGAATCCCAGACTTTTCTATATTCTAAATCCATATAAACATCAGCTGAGATTTCTGGTAGTACATCTGATAAAGTTCCATATATCTTATATTCATACAGACCAGATTCCTGAAAAGCAGATCGTCATACATGTAATGTCATGAATGTAGAAAAACTTGAAAAGTAGATGCATAATTGTAATACACTTTGACTACTTACAATTTTTATTTAAAATTCATCTAAAAAAATCCGTACCCCCTGTTTTCATGGAACAATGTGAACCTTTCTTGATGTATGAACTAAAGTAGTTGTAATACAAAATGTACTTCTAAGACTTAATTAAGTAATTACCTTACAGTAACTTTTGAGGTGTAAAATGTAAGTTGTTGTGATCTACTTTTGTCTGGATGCTGACCTTTGCTCTAGGACCAGGATGAAATTTGCAGTCATTTATAATTACAATTTACAATAAATTATCTAATTGTATTAAGTTAGATGGTTAACTCGGTATATAAAAGTAAAATAAAAAAATAACTCTTAAGCCAATGAACCATGAAGCATGTGTTACATGAACTTCTCAATATTACAGGAATAAATTTGATGTGCCTACAAACACCTGCAAAGTTTGATGGTTGAAGGTCAAGCAGTTCTGGAGATATGGCTGTGGACAGTGATGCACACACAGACAGTCATGTTGGCATGCAACATGGAAGCAGAGGGTACACCAGTTGTACTTTGTCAACTTTTCAATGTAAACAAAAAATTCAATAAAAACTTAAAATGCATGAGGCATATGAACAACTTCAAAATCCAAAGTTTCTATGGGTTCCTGTATTTCCTATGGGTTTTGGGAGCTTCTGCTATCATATATGCATACATTTTACACGAGTGTCATTGGTGTTTTTAATAAATGGTCAACTGTCACAAAAGTTACATGTACATGTAGAGACAATAGAAACATTTTCATGAATTTGGTAAAAAATGTGATTTTTGAAAATCAGTTAATAATTGAAAACTTGGATTTATAGTTAAACATGAAGGGACTTGACACTCAAGTAGCATTCAACAATAACTTCAGTGTCACAGAACTACTTTCATTGCATTTACTTTTAATCTACACTATACATGTACATACAGTTATTGATAATTCTGTAAATTATGTTTCAATAAATGTGGATAGTGTCCACATGTGGACACAGATGATGCCCCCGCTTGCATATCATATAGTTATAAAGGGACATAACTGAAGAACGGTAAAAGTGACGCTACCCAAACTTGAACTTGATCTGAGTTTTGTGGTAATAAGAATTGTGTGTAAGTCTCAATCTTTATGTTTATAAAGGGACATAACTCAAGAATAGTAAAAGTGTCGCCACCGAATTTCGTACTTAATCTGTATTATGTAGTTATTGTGTAGAAGTTTCATAACATTTGGTTGAGGCAAACTAGTTAGAAAATGGAAACAAAAAATTTGTACTTGATCTTAGTTTTGTGGTAATGAATATTGTGTATAGGTTTCATAATGTTTGGTTGGGGCAAACTTAAGTTACAGAATGGAAACTAAAAATTTTGCAATCTTTCGATTTATAAAGGGGCATAACTCAATAATGGTTAAAGTGACACTACCCAAATTCAACTTGATCAGTGGAAGTCAAAATTAAACATTGCATTGTATAAAGCATTGATTGTAGTTGATTCAACTATAATCATGGACAAAGGAAGATAGCTCCAATTTTAAAAATAACTTTATATTTAGAAGAAAATAAAAATTTTGCAATTTTTCCATTTATAAAGGGGCATAACTCTAGAACAGTTAAAGTGACGCCACCAAAATTCAAACTTGATCTGTGTTTTGTGGTGATAAGCATTGTGTATACATGTAAGTTTCATAACATTTGGTTGAGACAAACTTAAGTTAGAGAACTGAAACGAAAAAGGCATAACTCTAGAACGGTTAAAGTGAAGCTCCCAAAATTCAAACTTGATCTGTGTTTTGTGGTAATAAGTATTGTGTATAAGTTTCATAACATTTGGTTGAGGCAAACTCAAGTTAGAGAACGGAAACCAATTTTGGGACATACGTACATATGTTCGTACAGACGGACAAGGGTAAAACTTAATGCCCCACCGCTACGGCAGGGGCATAAAAATTGAATTAGGATGTTATAATAATTATGGATTAATCATATGTATGTTTTTAAAAGAAAATACATGTACATGTACATTTACATGCAAGAGAAATAAAGTCTCCATGCATGAAGATAAAGAACAGAACTAAGAAGTGGTTTCTATTTTACAAAAAGCATATGTATCTGTTATTACAGTCAGGGGTACTACTTGTACAAGTAATTTTATAATATACTTATATAAGTAAATTTGAAGGGTACTTATACAAGTGTATTTTATTTACTTGAATAGGTAAATTATTTTTTGGCTTAGTTATGTCCCTTAGACATTCAGATTTTTTTACTTAGATACAAGTAAAAAAGTCATCCTATCTTCTTTTCTTGAATTTCTTAGGACTTCTTTGCTCTAATAGAATTTTTAATTGTCTGTCCCTTGCAGATGTCTTTACTAATCATTTAAGTGTAATTTCATGGACAATGAAAATCTCATTTGTCTGTTATATTCAGAACACTGCTCATTTACAACCCCTTAAGGGGCAATTTTTGAAGGCCTTGCACAAATACTTAAGATCTTTAATTGCGCAATTAGTTTCTTTGATGAATTAATGAGATGAAACATTGAACTCTAATAAAAAACTATGAGCTAACCTGAGAAAAATTGTTAAAGGCATGTTTTTACATCTCAAAACTTGAGAATTTTTCGGGATTGAAAAAAAAAATTACTTATACAAGTAAATTTTTGAGCAAATTAAGGGGAGATTATTCAAACATTATAATTTACTTATATAAGTATAGTATTATTTACTTCTTCAAGTAAATAAAGATTACTTGTACAAGTAGTACCCCTGACTGTATTATAATCAAAGATATAATTTAAATGTAAAACAAGTATATTTTAAAAAGATTAGGCAGTTTTTTTTCACTTTAAATAAATTTCTTTGTTTTATGAATTTGGTCACTATCTCCATGCACAATTTTGATACTTGTGTGTATTTTTTCAATTTCAAAGTTAAAATTTGTGAAGAAATGCATTGTAATGTACATGTATATGAACGGTAGCTTTACTTCACAAATAAACTTGAAAAAAATTTGGATTTATAAATGGAAATGCCATTATGGGGAATGTGTAAAAGAGACAACAACCCGACCAAAGAGCAGAAAACAGCCGAAGACCACCAATGGGTCTTCAACACAGCGAGAAAATACCGCACACAGAGGTGGGCTTCAGCTGGCCCCTAAACAAAAATGTGTACTAGTTCAATGAAAATGGACGACACACTAAACTCCAAAACATATAAATGAACTAAAATTAAAAAACATACAAGACTAACAAAGGCCAGAGGCTCCTGACTTGGGACAGACTGCTTTACATGTACATGTATTGGATAATGGGTCTTTTTACATTTTAAGATCTAAAAATTAATAAGAATATGCCAAGGTATGGTCAATGAAAACATGACATAGAGTAAGTTCATAACTTTTGTGATTATTGACAAGTTTTCAATTTCCTTTCTATGAATGAACTTCTCTGTTTTTGACCTGGGGTCATGCAGGAGAAATTTTGTCATAAGACATTGTGACAATAAGATATTTGCTTTGTCATGTTTGTGAGGACAAACTTTCTGGGAAAATGCACTAATTGTCATTAATTGGAAAATCATGTATTGCATGCTGCGTTTGACTATTGTCTTGTGGGTGTGGACAACAGGTACAAGTAACCTTTGCCCCATGTCCTACAATAATTGACCTCATGGGCATTATTTTCCATTTCTATTTATTTCTTATATTTTTTTTTACTTATTTTACTACTGGTTATTTTTGTTTTCTATTTTTTTGTTTTTACTATCAATATACCACCATGAAAACGTTAAATAACCAACCGTGATATAATGTGAAATTAAGGCATATATTACAGGACAACCTTTGCCCCCTTTGTTTTTGATATAAAAAAAAATACAAATGATATAACTAAATATATGCACATATCTTCAATTGCACGTGAATGATATTAGTTTACTAACTTCATTGTATAGCCTATAAATTGTAACTCCGTGACTCTCAGTAAAGAATTCCCATCCATCAATCTGAGGTTGATCCAATTCTTTCATTAGGACTGCAAAGTCATCATCAGTAAACATTCTTATCGGTCTTGTTCGGATGTTTTCAACTTCTATATTGTTAACTTTGAGATTTTCGTCGACAGGGAAACGTTTTAAGCTAAAATAATGCCTTGTCTTGTTTCAACTCGCATGATCTGTTTACATTTTGTGTTTACTTCCGGTGCTAATGAAATTTTAAAAAGGAAGTCAACCGGTATTCATTCCGGGAAATAAAACTATGAAAAAAGAGGCGAACGATACCAATGGGAGAATAAAAAACTTACAAGTCATGAGGGGGGTATGACCTTTATCGGGACTCCGGGATCGGGTGTTTTTAAGCTCGGGATTACGGGATTGATCCTTTCGGGATCCGGGAATTCTTTTTTCGAATTTCGGGATGTCGGGATTTAAATTTTTTTAAATTCGGGACCTCGGGATTCCATGTTTTTAAGCCCGGGATTTCTGGATCTGGACCCCTCATACCCCCCCCCCCCCCCCTTCCGCCAGTCATAGAGATACCATCTTATTCCTGACAAAAGACGAACAACTACCTCCATCCAGATAGCAATTGTTTTGGTAATGTGCTAGGAAGTGGAAAGAAAGCAGATGATCTCGAGAAACCAAGGCCTATGAAGGTAACACTGAACAGTACTGAAGGTAAAAAGAGTGTAATGAAAAACCGTTCTTGATTAAAGAACACAGAAACAAGGAAGTCCATTTTTTTAATATAAGTGTGACTCATGATATGACTACAACAGAGAGGGAACAAAACAAAGGTAAAATATAAATGAAGCCCTAAAGAGAAAACGGAAAAGATCAAATCGGGGAAATACCACTTCATAGTTCGGCCCCCTGGGCAAGAAGAATAGTAAGAGTATTAAAGGAAGCGTACTGAATACCAGATGATGACATTGTACATAATGTAAATTCGTTTTAAGTTATTGGTGACCAGCATTTGAACGGCCGTAAACACGCAAGTGTTTTATCTGAACTTAAGTGCATTTATACCAACGATGATAGTTTTATAAACAAATAAACAAAACAAGATTTATAAATGAGGAATTAGATCCTGATATTATGATAATAACTAAAGTTCTCCCCAAAAACAATAGATACCGTACGTTATAGTAGGAATTATCAATTGATGGCTACGATATTTTTCCTGAGAATTTTCCAACAAACAGTGTACGTGGAATTATGATTTATGTTAAACAAGAACTTCAAGCAGTCGAGATAGATATTAAGCATGAATAAAAGGAATATGTCCGCTTAAAAATAAACCTTTTGAATAATGATAAACTATTAATTTTCTTTCTTTATAAGAGTCTATCTTCTTCTGAAGAACATCACAAGACATTAAATGATTTGCTTATGAAAATTAGCAAACTGAAGGTGTAATACCACCAAATCATAGTACGTCACTTCCGGTTGCGTCACTTCCGGTTGCATACGAAAATAGGTCGAAAAAAAATATTCCCTTGAATTTGACAGTTGTAGGTAATTGATCCTACATTTCATTTCGGTAAACCATTTCTGGGTCATAAACATATATCTTGGGTATTTCAAAGCACCATTATTTGGGGTTTCTATAGAATATTTTGGAAACTTGAGGTTACATGGTTACTAAAGCTTGTACACAGGTTAAAAAAGGGGGAAAATTTGATTGATTAACTATTTTAAGATAATAGTGTAACCAGTTATGTAATTTGACACGTGTCTTACGGTTCACAGATTTTCGGCAAAATCAAAGAAAAACCGGCATGTGCCTAAACATTGTTCAATTATTCATTTATTTATGATTCTTTTTCGATAGAATTAGGAATTTATGCATTAAATATCAATCTCTACCATGATATGAACTTTACTTACATGTAACAGCACCCCTTCTAGTCCTTATAGTTGCATATTATAAGTCCTTAGTGCACTAAGGAGACCTTAGCAGTGTTTAGACGCACCCCCTTGGGTGAGGATTGGAGATCCTGCTCATGTTGTCTCAACTCTTTCTCATTTAGGATTCCGGTTCCGAGGCGATTTTATGATTTGTTCTCCCAAATAGAAAAATCACTTCGGACCCAAAATCCTTACTGTAAAGGGGTTACAACGGAACACTGGTGCAAGATGATTGCGAGCGTTATTAAACTGTTTTGGTGATCTAATTAAAATTAAAAGTCCAAAGATTAGAAGAAAAAAGTGAATATCTCCAAATACTACATGTATGTGTGATGTTTTCGATGTACAATCATAGTAAAAAATGCTACATGTTTCACAAAAAGAGCAATTACAACATTGATTGATGATATCCAGACAAACGCAAACGGCAAAATGTGTTAGATATGTCCTTTTTTCGGTGCAAAATTTAGTTAGCATGCATTTGGTGTCTAAAATTGTACAGACGATTAACTCTCTGTCTTGAATTCCAGCATTAAACAGGAATTATTTGAGCATTATTAATGTCCTAGATGGCTGTGTCCTGTGCCTCACACTATACCAATTCGAAATTACAGTATAAGTTGTGTTTTCGAAAAGTGTATCTATATGAAATTTACATTTGTGGCATTTTGCATTAAAAAAATTAATTAAATCAAGCCTTTAAACTGAATTATTTGAGTATCAATATTTATAATTTATTCCCATAGTTTTTTTTCCAGACTTTTTTAAAAATGCTTTTACTACCTTTTCTTTTAAATAATTTAATTTTCAAGAAATTCCATATTAGAAACATTTAATCATAACACTTAGGACAACCATTTTTTTACATAAATTTCATATAAATAATCGGTGTCTTCTGGCTGTTCCTACATTTTGTATTTTACTATTCTAGCTATTCCTACATGGGAGATTAGTGGAAGAACAAAAGATGTTGTTATTGCAAGATATGTTGTTTTAGTCATTAGTGTCTAATTGGGTCAAAGGTAAATTTACCTGTAGAAATTAAATAAAAATTATTATTTATATGTAAAAAATGGGGTTTTTTTTTGTTTGAAAACATGCATTAAGTATTAAAATTAAGTGTTTCTAATATAATGGAATTTCTAGAAAATAAAATTATTTAAAAGAAAAGGAATTAAAAGCTTTTAGTAGTCTGCAAAATAAAATTATTTAAAAGAAAAAGTAGTAAAAGCATTTGAAAGTCTGGAAAAAAACGTATTTAAAAGAAAATTAATAGTAACCAACACTTTTTTTTTTATTAATTTCATTATTTTAATAAACTATGATTTTTTTTTAAAATGAATATAATATCAAAATTAATGCTAAAAGTACTTAATTATTATAGATAAGTGTATAAATTGGCCTAATAGATTAAGCCAAGCCAAGAAACATTGAACTCTGATTAGCTTTGAACAATATTAACTTATGCTCAGTGTCTTAACTGAACACCACAAGCTATACCAAACAAGTAAGCATTATTATAAATAGCCAGATTTTTCCTGTGATGTTCATTCTCAGTTCATCATGGCTAATGCACAGTTAGATATCAGATTTACAACAAATAGATAAGGCAACCAGTACTTGGTACACAATTCCTACAAGTTCCAGATAAAGTCAAGACGTGGAGACAGATGTTATTGGAAACTCTCTACCTGTAACTGCCCTGCCACTATCAACACACGCAACAACATACCAACCAAAGTGGATGCTAATCACAATCATCACTCAGACAGAATGCAACTCAGAGTAGACGATGTACTAGAACGTATGAAATCTCGTTGTAAAGATGAACTCACTGCAATTCCAACTATTTATGAAGAAGAATTGGTAAAACTACGTGACCGGGAAGGGAATTAAAGGGTACTTTTTCCACTACACTCAGTGTATCTGGCGAAATGCACAGAAGCATGGTTTGCAGACTGAATACAGCGAAAAAGGCGACATTCACCAACTTGTTCGAAGAGCTGCAGTTCTGCCACTTTTACCACCCAATACAGTTGAAGATGTTTGGTTTAACGCACTGGAGGACATCGATGATGCAGATACTAACACACCAACCCTTAACTTTATAGACTATGTAACCAGCTACTGGGTAGAAAACAACCAAAGCCTATGGAACCACTACGAAACAGAAGGTCCTAGAACAACAAATCATTTAGAAGGTTGGCATAGTAAACTAAAGAAGTTAGTAAAGGCACCTCACCCAAACATCGTCAGCATGATCAAGTTGTTGAGACAAGAAGAAGCCTTTCATGCTCTCACACTTATCCAATACAGAGCCGGCGGGAAACGTATTCCAAGAAAGAGAAAATACCGGGAAATAGATGACAGACTGCAAACACTGAAAACAGGGTTACAGAATGATGAGCTTACTCCAGTCGAGTATGGAGATGCTGTTTCTTATCTCCTGCACATTGATTAAGACTTTGTATTCTCTTGTATGTTCAATTAAGTGCAATGTATTACTGTGTGAGTGCTATGTTTAATGTCAATTTAGTGCTTATTTCTATTTCTATTATGCCTATAAATTCATATTGTGCTTTTGAATATTATTTACACAAAATGTGCTATGAAATTATTAAATAAAATATTGTAATATAAACTATTCTTTTTCTTTATTTTCCACAATCATTACCTGGATTTACCTTGATTCATTAGTTTAGTGTTGTTACAACATAATCCTACATAATCCCATTGTTTTCATAAAAATTCTGGGAACTCCTACATAAAATTTTACTATTTTACCTATAAAATTCAAAATGTAGGAATAGCCAGAATGAACCAAATAATCATTTTTATTTAATTTCCAATGGTAAAGTTACCTGTGACCTAATTAGACACTAATGACTAAAACAACACATTTTGCAATAACAACATCTATTGTTCTTCCCATATAATCTCCCACGAAGGAATAGCCAAAATTATAGTAAAATACAAAATGTAGGAATAGCCAGAAAACACCGTTTCCGTGTGTCATGCTACGAAATTTAAATTAACTAATTTTGGCACCGGAACCTTACCGCTAATATAATGTTTGTCAAAATAATTTGTTTCAAAAACTAAGAAGAAGTTTTTAAAGTTTTCATTATGAAAAATTCCTACATGAACTAAATTGTGTAAATTATGAAAATGTATTGTGAGTTGATGATGTCAATAAAGCATATTAAAATTTTCACTTCGAATATGTTAATACAATTGACAAGTCGAAGAACATACAAATGAAAAAAGAAGGTCAATATTATCACCT